AATTTTTCTCATCCAAGTTTATTAGTTTTCAGTGTTCAAGAGTTGCATTTATTTTATTAAATACATTCCTAAACATTCTATTTTTGAAACTATTATGAATAGAATGCTTTCCTAAATTTAATTTTCACATTGCTCAATATAATAATAAATAATAATGTAAATAACATTTAATATTGATCTTTTATGTTGTGGGACCTTCCTAAACTCTGTTTGTTTGTTTAGTTGTTTGTTTAGCATGTGACTTGTTTATTTGTTTGGCATGTGAATTTCTTAGCATTTCCATGTCCCGGAGCATGTCATCTTCAAATAAAGTCTTAATTATTCTTTTCTAATTGGGATGCCTTTAATCTTTTTTTTTTTGCTTGATTTCACTATATATTATACATATCTATTACAATGTTGAAATTTAAGTAGAGAAAGAATAGACATGTTCCCATTCCTAATTTTATAGGAAAAATTCAGCCTTTCACTGTTAAGTTTATTATTAGCTGTAGATTTTTTGATGATGTTCTTTATCTGATTGGGAAAGATTTTCTTTATTCCTACTCTGTTGAGAAGTTTTTACCTTGGATAGTTGTTGTATTTTTTGAAATATTTTTCATCTGTCTATTGAGATGATTCTGTGGTTTTTGTCCATTCTATTAATATAGTATAAAACATTAATTGATTTCAGATGTTAAACCAACCTTAGGTCATTTTTTCATTATTCACTCTGACAATGTGTGGCTTTTAATTGGTTGTTAAAACCATTCCCATTAAAAGTGATTACTGATATAGTTGGACTCATATCTGCTATCTTCAAATAATAATATGTGACACAGTAATAGCCCATCTTCAGGTAAACGTATACTGCTTCATGTATACTGCAGGTTTATTACTATCCCAATTCCTCTATCTAGTCCCTTGTGACATTACTGTTAATCATTTTACTTATAAATATGCTATACACACTCAATACAGTCTTTGTATTATTGCTTTAAATAGATAGCTATGCTTTAGCTCAGTTAAGAATAAAAAAATTAAAATATTGTTTTATTTATTCATTTTCTGATGCTCTTCCTTTCTTTATATGTACATATAATTATAGTTGACATACATTATTATTCAACATCAGCTTTAGATATACAGTGCGGTGGTCCGGCCTCTACACCAACTATGAAGTGGTCTCCCTAACAAGACATGAGTCCATCTGGCCCCCTAAAAAATATTTACAACATTATTGATTATATTCCCCAGACTGTCTTGTCTAT